AGCTTTCGGTAGGTAGGTTTAAAAACCAAATGTCACGAGACACGATCCTTCATCATTTAACGTACTTACTTACTATCAGTGTTTTACTAACTAAACTGTGCATTATGTTGCACCGACAATCACGATATGACGCAATTGTTTCACATAAATTGAACAACCATGTCAATCATGATACCTTGATTGAACAAAATAAAAAAAAATATTGTCATTATTAATTTTCAGTAACTTAAATCATGGACTTCGTAATCGGCGGCCTGGCAGGCGCCGGCGCAACTATTTTTACCAATCCAATGGATGTTGTTAAAACTCGGATGCAGTTGCAAGGAGAGCTGCGCGCGCGAACCGATGCAACCACGCGGTATCGAGGCATCTTCCACGCCTTGTATGTGATCGCAAGAGCTGATGGTGCACTGGCGTTACAGAAGGGGTTGGCGCCAGCCATGGTGCTTGGGTTCACTATGAACTCCGTCAGGTAATTTGTTTTTTTAACCGACATAAAAAAATAGAAGGAGTTTCTCAGTTTAACCTTATTTATGTATGTATGTTTGTCGGCGATTGGCTGAATTAATTATGAAGTAGTTTTCCGAAAAAGTGTTTGTTATACTTATATATTATTTATTTAACACTTTATATGTACGATCATACAATGGCGAGGTTAATGCCAGATGGTTTCTCTACCAGCCCACCGCAACTTAGACTAACCGACTTCAAAACAGGAGGTTGCAGTCGATTTTCTAAATATAGTTTATAGAAAATTATTGCTAGTTTAAAGAATATTAATATAGTTTATAAATATTATTATTATAAATATTTTTCTTCTTTTGATTCCACAGAGTTCAAGGCAAAGGTCTCTAAAAACCAAAAAAAATTAAACTACGATTTGTATTAAACTGTCAAACACCAAGCGGTCACCGGTGACCGGAACCTATTGTTCTATAATTGTGTCTATAAAACCGGTACTCGACGAGTTAATAAAAACTATGATACTTTTTATTGACTAATATAAATCACGTTCCAGACTAGGCATGTACCACGTCGCAGAAGTAAACGGATGGACGAAAAACAAAAATGGCGAGATTAGCATAGAAAAAGCAATATTTTGGTCAAGTGTGAGCGGTGTCATGAGTGGTGTGACTGGCAACCCTGCTTCTGTGGTAAAGACTAGAATACAAGCCGCTGCACACCCTAGTATAGCAGTTGGGAGGCAGCATAGATATAAAGGTAAGGAAAATATATTTTTGGTCCTACGATCCAACGACTCCTTGAAATCCTCATAAAAGGCTCATGGTCTATAACAAGGTAGGCAATGAGGACGACATTGGAGGTTTTCCTTCGACAGTCTTTTCACCATGTATTATATAATTTATATATATCCAACAAAGCACAATTTTCAATTCTGTGTACCTATCTGAATATTCTAAAGAAAACTGCCCAATAAAATTTTAACAATTGGGTCATTAAAGTAAAATCGCGAGTTACTCACGTAAATATACTGAGAAAAGCTCTACTAGTTTCGAACCACAGAGGGGTTCTTCCTCATGAGCAGCGTGCGCTGCGCTGAACAGTGAGCTGCGCAACGTCGCCGCGATGTCTCACGATAGGTGTTATAATTGGGTTTTAATAAAAAAATTGATTATTTCGACTGTTCAATACAATAAAATATTACAAAATAATCACACTTTCATTAATTGATTTTATAACCAACTTAATTTAGTAATAAATACAGGAAAAAATATCCAGCAAAATTTTACGAAATAAGTATGCTGTTTGACGCTAAAATAACGTGACGTCACAATGCACAATCTCGTACAAAATTCATAGAAAACTGTCGTTTTTGACAGTTCGAAAAAAGTATTGAATTTGACTAGTTAGCAAGTACCTACCCATTTATTCTCAGCCGAGCAAAAATGATTTTGATTCGAAACGGCCAGTACTGCAGAACGGCAATATCATAGGCAAAGGTCTATAATAATTTTTCAAAGCAGGTACCTAATATAGAAAGTTTCATCTGTAACTAAGTAGGTGACTAATTGGTGTTTTACGAGTAACCTTAAATGTTCCAGGAATGTGTGACGGCATCGTCACGATATACAAGACTGAAGGGTTGAGGGGTTTCTTCGCGGGAGTATCCGCGACGTGCACGAGACTGGCCATCGGCAGCGCCGCTCAACTCACCACATTCTCCAAGTAAGGGTAGTAAAGACCTAGTCTCATTAACTACGTCTTTGGTTAATGAGGAATTTATCCTTAAAGTGTATAATGAGGAAGGGTATGCCTTTTTACAATAATACAAGAACGAAAATAATAATAAAAATAGTCAATTCGTAATCATCTACTGAACTTTAGTGGGAATTCAATTTCCTCACTAAAAATGAACTTAGTGGAATAATTTACAGAAGATTACTGGCTATTATTAACTTTGCAAACGGTATTTAAATAGACTATTATTTTCAAAAGCAGCAATTAGTCAAAAATCAAACAACAACAGATTTTTAGGCGCCAGATTTTCAACCTCATCATTTTAAAATACAGTCACAAAAACTCTTCTGAAATATAACTATTTAGTCGACCTTCTAGCACGCGTATTCAACCCGAGGAAATATTAGAAGAAAATAAGACCGTCTGGTTGACCTTCTAGCGCCTATACTAAACCGAGGAAATATTAGAACAAAAAAAAAGAAACCATTCAACTAATATTTCCACTTCAGAGCAAAAGAAGAGTTGCTGTCACATGGTTTTTTCACAAACACACCGCTTGGACTCGCCTTCGGAGCCAGCGCTGTCAGTGGCGTGGTGGTAGCCCTAGCCATATGCCCCTTCGACGTCACAACTGTCCGTTTATACAACCAGGGTTGGTATTACTGCAAACTTTTTTTACAGATTCAAGGAATATCTGCTATCTCGGGGATATTTTGAGGATGCACCGCTGACTTTGTCGTTTTGGGCGAGCATCGTGTGCGGTGTGATCGTTGTTTGTATCGAAACTCCGCTGGATGTTGCAAACACACGGCTTTATAACCAGGGTAACGTTCCAGCTTGGTGGTCGGTGGTCTGACACTTGCATGCTTCGCTTATGGTCTAGTGAACTACGCTTTTAATGTTCTTTGTAGGCAATTTGGGTCTATTAGAAGTCTACTGTAAACGGACTACCTTCACCTACTTCTCTCCGTCTACTCGTCTGTTATTTTCAAATAGAAGTCGAAAGATGTTAGATGCGCAACAATTAGCGTCAACCCTGACCGTTACTGTGTAGGTTGACGCCAATTGTACTTGATTTTTAGTGCTGTATTACTTGAAAACAAATTATGGCCTGTTTTAATAATATCTGTCCCACTGTAATATAACTGTACTTCCAAAGGTCGCACACAAAAAATAATTTCAAACTCCATACAGTGTGAGAATTTGGAAGAGTAATCACCAAATAACTTTATCCGATCTAAAGGGTCGAGTACGAGAATTTCAATATACTTTGGCAAACTACATATTTCATTTTCTAACACTCTCCTACGTCTCAGAATCACTTTGCCTTATAATTATTGAATTTATCTTTCCTTAAACTTTTAAAATGATTCTGATTATGACCAGAAAATAAAGTTATTTCTTATTCGATTTTCAGGATCCTCAGCAACAGGCGCCGTCCTATACACGGGAGTTCTCGACTGCCTCACCAAAATATACAGAACCGAAGGCCTCCACGGTCTCTACAAAGGACTCGGACCACTCTACCTACGGATAGCACCTCACACTACACTCTCCTTGGTCATTTGGGACATGCTCAACAATCTCCTAGCAAAAAGTAAAATAAATAGTAAAGTCGTTGTTTAATACTTGCGTTTTATTCCACAACTAATACACTTCAAATAAGGAATATAGGACTTATAAAATATCAAGATTGAGACGCAATCGGGGGTGAAAAATGTATTTCCCATTCAAGGTCCAGAGAGCTGGCATCAGAACTGTCATCGTCTTCGCCGTTACAGCAGCTACATGATTCATCTTCTTGTTCTTCCTCACTGCAGTTGCAGTCCTGAGTAGAATCGTACTGACCTATCGCTTGTTTATACGCCGGCAGACAGATCTTTTCACACGCTTTAGGATGGTAAGGATCTTTCCAAACTTTGTCCACGGCTTTTTTAATGAGCCGTTGTCGTTTTCTTAATCGTTTCTCAATCCTTTCTTCGTTATCCTCTCTGCTTATCCTGTAGATTAGCGGACTGCAGTGGTCAATGTTCATTTCACTGTCCGCTGGAGAGACCTGCATCTCCACCCGGTACTCCCCCCTTCTCTTACAAATAATGAGGGTTGGTTTGTCAATTACTCTTTTCTTCGTCTTTTTAGTAGGCTTAGCCTTTTCTACTGGATGCGTCTGCATTCTCACTTTGTTCAATTTCTTTAGGAGCCGATTTGATATTGCACCCGGCCTCCAACCTTGTCTTACCTAGGATTAAATAATAAGTTAATATATTTCTTTACTCCTACACCTATACACATAAATAGCTAAAAAAATCTTAAAAAAATAACAAATTTAAAAAAAGGCTTACTTGTTCGTAATTTATTTTCATTGCATCATGTCGTGATTCTTTAGTTCCATAATTATGTGTTAATACAAATTCGTCTGAATACAAATTTGTATAAAAACAAACCTTTGAAAATTAAAGTTAAGCTTTTGTTCAATGTAATTTTAAGTAGTGTAATAACGGCACGGCGTTATACTGTTCAGAAAGAGATTGTGAGATATATGTAGGTAATTACTAATTAAGGTAAGTAATAACTTTGTTTCATTGTAAAAATAAATTAACTTCGTAAAAAAGGGGAAAGGTAGTTTCTTTCAAAAAGATATCTTTTAAAATGATTAAAAAAGGGTGTCTCCGTCTTGAATTGAAGAGAGGACTAGGGATATTGATATTAAAAATGTCAATGAACAACAATAAATATTTTATTTCACTATTCACCTAACAAAATAACGTTACAAAATTTGACTTAGCACGTAACCAAATAAATACCACTTAAAACTTCGATCATCTAAATCTATACCGTAACTATCGCATGGACTCAGAATTAACTCGTCGAGTACCGGTTTTGTAGACACAATTATAGAACAATAGGTTGCGGTCACTGGTGACCGCTTGGTGTTTGACAGTTTAAACCACATACACATATTTAGCTTGCGTGCTTGTCGTGTTGCGCCCGCGGGATGATTGGGTTGACTGCTTCTGTCCGTCTCCTTCACCAGTGCTCGCTCCCTTTGCGAGGGCCACTAAGCGATCATATCGCTGCTTCTTCATCAATTCTGAACTAATAAACGAGTGGAAACATGGTACGTGGAATGAACTTAAACTTATGCCCTGATGTGTAAGGTTAGTCAATCTATCTTTAGGTCTCCTATTTTTGACATCTTTTAACCTAAAATAAATCTTATTCCCATGTCCATCTACCGCAACAATACCTTTATTTGATGGTGTAGCATGCTTACATTTTCTCCTTTCTACAAAACTGTGCGGTTGAGAAGCACCGCGCCGCCCTTTATGTTTCTTTCCAGATCTCGGAACTATTTTTGGTTCTGGTATTTTGACGTCTTCGCCATGAGCTAACATGTCCCGTAATTTTGTTAGCAATAATTTCTTATCCTGCCCATGGCCAATTATACCCATTTTAGACAATTGTTTCGGAGAAACACTGCCGAAACAACTCCAAGTGGCCTCCGATGGTTTCGTATCTTTTCTCTCTTCTTTCCGCTTTACAGCAGTTTTCTTTTTACCTGACTTCACTTTTTTCGGGGCTGCTGGCAGTTTTGACTTGGAATAGAACTTCCACTTGCCCATATCGACATATCCATCCACTCCAACAACCAACCACTCACCATCTACAGACTGAAATTTTCCTGTCTCAGCATCGACCATTTCTCCGGTCGGTCCCATAAAAGTGTTTGGAGCCCATCTCTCATCAGGTCCTATATAACCATCCGTGTTTATTTCGAGCCACTTATTATCCGGTCCCCAGAATCCACCCAAGTCACTGCATAGTTGCTTCCCATCAGGACCCTTAAAGAACCTAGGTACAGGATTACCATACCTATCTAAAAGTTTCACTCTGTAGTCTAAGTATGTATATTGAGTTGAAATGTCTGCAGTTACAACTTTCTTACATTTGTATGTTGGATCAAATTTAGCAGAAGGTGGTGTAAATTCGACAATCCATTCATCAGAATCTGTGGCTGAACCAATTTTTATATGGTCATCAGAGCAAGAACAGGACCGATCCAAGTCTACTCTGTCAGGACCGGGATTTATTGGGTAACATGGACAATCGGGAATTTCAGTATAAGGAAGTATGCCAACAGCTTGTTGATAAGTCTTGAGACATATCTCCTGACACATATCTTTAAAAGCGCTTTGTATAAATTCGCGCTGATGCGTCTCCAGTATCTTTTGTCTGTGCAGTTTCCTTTTTCGTCTTTGAAGGTTTGCTTCTGATGTCCTCCCTATCGTGTATGTCACTACAGGTTTGTCTTCATATGGGTGTTGATTAAACGTCCTAGGCTTAGCATAACTTTTCATTGTTTCCATTGTCACAGTGTATTCGCCATCCTTCTTTTGTACTATAAGTAATGGCCGCTTCAAAGGTCTCTTGACCTTTCCCGTGTCTTTTTTTCTTTTTTTAGCCAAAGCTTCGCCAGGGTTCTTGGCAATTTTAAGTAATCTTACTACGTGTTTATTGGTAGCACCAGGTTTCCATAATGGACGAAACTAAAAAAAAATTAAAAAACATACATTCGTATTCCTTTACGACAACGGACTATTGACGATGGAAAAAGCTATACAGACCTTTACTCCCGGTACATTTTCAGCATTCCACAACCACCCCATACGTTTAGGTACTGCACCTAACGTACCACCACAAGGCAGCAAGCAGCGACTGTGTCCAATTTGCGGAGCTACGTATGAAATCAAATCACGGTAATTAAATTTCATTATACAACAAACACCAAAAAAATATATCTTTAAAAAAAGATAAAATACGTACGTATACCTTGATAACCGTAGTTAAATTTAAATCTGCTATCCTTTTTCCTTCTTTTGCCTTTTTTTGTTTGGTCTCTATCGGAGTCCGAACTTTTTCTATCCAAAACGGTTGTCTTTTGCTTAGGGGTTTTTCTTTTATCTTTTTTTATTTCATTGCCGTCTGTTTCTTTCTTATCTTCAAGACCTTCTTTTTTATCTTTTGACTTAGCTTCAGACATGTCCTTTACTTCTTTTTTATCTCTCTTGGTATCGCTTCCAGAAGTACTGATTTTACTTCTGTCAACTAATTTATGAAAGATAGGGCAAGGAAAAGGTAATTCAGATTTAGGTCGCTTAGGATATTCTTCACCAAAATTTTCATAGCCGCCACATATATTGCAGAATGTAGTTTTTTTCACAAAGCCAAATTTACATTCGCATTCACAGTAACAAGGTTCATCACCAAATTTCATTTTAGCTCTCATCCCTCCTACTACTTTCTCTACTTTCTCTAGATTTTTTTTCTCATTTTTAGTTATTCCCAAGTCTAAATAAATAGCATCGTCCGGTGGTGTGCGTGGTTGGCGTGTTTTCTTACCATCACAGTCTACGCGATCACATTTTTTAACAGTGATCAAGTGTGAAGCTTCCATCGGTAAATCTAATGAACAAACACTAAGTGTTCCAGATAGGTTTTCCAATTTCTTGGCAGGACAATCAACGTCACATATTCGAAACTTATATCTTTCTCTCAGTGCTGTCTGATCAGATTGATCAGATCGATTGCTCGTTGATGATGATTTAGATTTCACTGGGCTATCCTTTCGGGAAACACTTTTTTCAGAAGTTTTTTCAGAACGTGCAGACTTAGGGGAATCAGCAAAATCATTTTGTACTGTAAAATATCCTACACAGTAGACCTGGTTTCCAAAAGGTCCAGCGGGCTGGCCACCGAAAATGTAATTTAAATATTTATTTTCTTGAATTATGTTAGAACATGATTTGGATTTTTTAACATTTAAATTGTTATTTTTCAGATTTAAATCACTTCTTACTAGTGCAACAATCCCATTATTTAATCTTTTGTTACAAGTTTTACTATTAACTTCAATAGTATCTAATACACTCGCGTGGCCTTTGTTATCAGCTTCTTGGACTGCTTTGTACTCCGTCTTTTTGGACTTCTTATGTATATAACGAACATTTTTTTTTACTTTACGCTTTTCGTTTTTGTAAACTGCTTTAACCGTACCAGTGTCCGTCGAATTACTTGTGATCTCTTTAATTGCTTTAATTGTGCATTTAGATTTAATCCCAGCGTTTACTGGTTCTTGATTTCTTGGCAATACAAATTTAAATTCGGAATTTTCTGTGCCTTTTACATGACTCAATTTAATATTTAGTTTAATTATCGCCATGCGCCTTGAAGTAAGTTCATCAAAAACATTATACTCTCCTTTGACACAAACTGAGTCTTGTCTCTTGTGGAGTTTACTCAAATATTCGAAATATGGGGAGCCCCACGCAATATGAGTAGATCCTATTTTATAATCAGGAATTATCTTACTCCAAAGTGACAACTCCATCGGATACTGTCTCATACTTGAAACCAAAGATTCCACATTACTAGGAAATACAATGGACTGTACTGATGCCCTAATTGAAGACGTCGAGCTTCTCCTTAGCTTGACTTTTCGTGTAGATTTTTTACTTCGTTTTGGTAATTTCAATTTATATTCATTAGGATCGTCTAGATGAATACTGAATATATCCGCAAATTGGCTTTTAATGCAGAACTCTTTACAGTTGATTAAACTTTTCAATTCTTCGACAACTATCTCAAACATAAACATCGAATCCGCAACAGCCATTTTTTCTTTATTTACACTTACAATACAAGTGAACTTTAATTTAATTCGGAACACGTCTTTAAACCCTATATTCCCGAATTTAACAAATATATATCTATAAAATTTTATTTTAATTAAAAACTTACAATTTAACAACTTGCCAAAAACTGTCATATTTTGAATAATTTGTTCGTTTATCATTTTTGAAAGATCGAGGCAGCCATGGTGGCATTCTAATAGTTTTATACAAGAGAGGCTGTATACGTTGTAATCTTCTATTTCTTAGTTTTGGTTTGTTTTATAACACAGAAAAGTGTGACAAAAATAAATAAATAATCTGCTACATATTTTAAATCAACCCCAGCCCCATAAAGAAACGGGCAATAATAAAGTTTGTTTCAATTAATAAGATAATTATTTGAGTTGGCGTTGGCGAATTGACAATTTAAAATCATCAGCGAACACTTTCTACCGCTGATTTAGTCATTGGCGAATGATAAAAAGGAGAAGAAGTGGTTGATGTTCTGAATCCAACGGATCTGTCCGCGCCGAGAGACTTTCTCTCGCTGCTGCTCACATAGCGTTGTAACATTGGAGACTTTTTTCTTGGAGTGTTTGAAGCTCTATTTGCCCTAACAGGTGGCGCTAAATCTCCTATATCGTCGTATGCTCTAAGGTCTTCAATGATTTCCCGATATTTTGCTAATTTCCTTTGATCCATAAAATGTTGACGGTCTACTGGGATAAAACGTGGAAACTTATTTGCTGCATAATCAACTGAAGCACTCATCACCATAGCGTTCTTGGATTTTTGCGCATGATGAACAGTTTTTTTTTCTTTAATGTTGTCTTTAATGGATCTAGCCTGCGATAATGGAGATGTTGACTTAGGCGGCGGTTGATTATTAAATTTCTTTTTCTCAGGCGCTGACACCTTTGACTTTGTCATAGAAACAGGTGGTGATACTGGTGCAGCTGCTGGTGGAGTTTCTTCTTTCTTCGCTCTTGTTTCTCCAGTTTTTGCTTTATTCACTGATTGTACTGGTGATTTTGCTCCTTTCTTCCGATCGATAGACGAACCCGTAGCAGTTGACTTTGATTTAGTGCTTTTAGGTGCTTTCTTTTTAGGATAAAACTGCCAGATGCCATCCTTGTCAATATATCCATCCACCCCAATTTTCCATATTTGGCCTGCGTTATCCGTGAAGGATCCTTCCTCTGCTGAATAGTATAATCCATCAGGTCCGGTAAAACTCATCGGCACCCAACGATTATCTGGTCCAATATATCCATCTTTATTAATTTCCAGCCAAATATGTTTTGGACTCCAGAAGCCACCTAAGTCACTACATTCCTGTTTACCATCTGGGCCTTTGAAATATCTCGGCACCGCGTTGCCACTTTTATCAAGTAATTTCACTTTATAATCTAAGTAATTATACTGACTTTCATTGGAAGCAAACGTGGGTGGGTGTTTAGCTTTAGCATCCCATCTAGCCATGGGCGGCGTGAATTCTACAACCCACTCGTCATTATCCGTGTCACTACTTGAAATGGTTGCGACATCGGAGCATGAACAAGAGTCCACGATGGGTGGAGTGACATTCAACTCAGGTTTATCGTTACAAGGACAAAAAGGTGAATTAGGATTGGGCAAAGGTAACAGACCAATCGCCTGATTGTAGGCCTTCAAACAAATTTCTTGACATCTATCCCTAAATGTAGACTGTAATAGTCTGCTCTTTCTTCTAGTCTCCCTGCGCTCTCGTCTGTCTCGTTGCTTCTGAATGTTACGTTTTTCTTCTTCTGTTTTTCCTATTGTGTATATTATAGGTGGTTTTTCATCATATGGATATTGAAATAAAAGTCTTTCTTTAGAAAATTTTTTAAACACTTCCATTTGAACTGTGTACTCTCCGTCACGTTTCGTAACAATCAGCGTAGGTTTCATTTCTATTTTTTTCTTTCGCTGCATCATAGCACGCTTCTTCTTGTTCACACTATCCAGACCCTCTCTTTGTGCTCTGTACCTTCTAACCAAAATAGCATTTGCAGCTCCTGGTCGCCAATTGGGCCGTAACTATAAAAAAATATAAATATTTTCGTAAACAAAAAGAAAAAAAAACTTTGTATATATTATATGGCCAAAATTTTATTTTTTATGAATTCATATGAATTATTCTGTAGCCGTTAAGTTTGACTTAAAAGTGTTGTTGTAAACATTATCAGTGAGTTAGCAAATTATGTTTTTTTAAAATACGTTGCCCTCACTTGAATTTTCTCCTGTGTCGTGGGTGCGTTTACAAACATACAAGTACACATACACATCACACATAGATGCGGAACAACAATTTGTGGATCAAACAAAGAGTTGTTCCTTGCGGGAATCGAACCCGCGACACGTTGCGCGGCACCCTGTTTCCAAGCCACCGCACCAGCCATCTATGACTGTTTACTGCCGCGCGGTTTCACCCACGGCTCGGCTTCTATTATAGCTGCGTGATGTTTGATAGTATATTAACCTTCCTCAATAAATGGACAAATCAACGAAAACGAATTTTCAAATTCGAACCACTGGCTAGTTGATATAATAGCGGGTTAAACGTCAAACAAAAGCTCTAGCCAAATGTTATATAGCGCTTGTCTACATGTAGAATAGAAAACCAAATTATATGGAATTGACGTTTGACACTTCTTTTTTTTTAACGTTGCCCCACACTAGGATTATCTCCTGTGTCGTGGGTGCGTTTACAAACATACAAGTTCACATACACATGACATCCAGACCCGAAACAACAATTTGTGGATCCACAAAGTGTTGTTCCGTGCGGGAATCGAACCCGCGACACGTTGCATGGCATCCGGTTGCCCAGCCACCGCAGCAACCGTGCAATCTAGTCAACTTGTCAGTGCCATCCCCATACATACTTATTTCTACTCTCTCTGTAGACAAGCGCTAAAGTGGCGTTTGGCTAAAGGCCCAGTAGCTGCAGCCAAATGCCATTTAGCGCTTGTCTACATGTAGAATAGAAAACCAAATTATAATATGGAAATGACGTAAATTTTGACACTTGTCAGTGTCATCCCCATACATTTTGATTTCTACTCTCTCTGTAGACAAGCGCTAAAATGGCGTTTGGCTAAAGGCACTGGTTTGTTATATTGTGAGTAAGTACTTATTGTGATAATCTTGCTGATGTTCCCTTTCAATGTAGACGATTAGCACACATTTACCGCTGCTTTACACTTACCCGTAGCTGCCTCACACCGCTGCATTATTTTATAGTATTATAACCACTTAACCAGTGGTACGGTAAACGTTTGAAAACCGAAAGAGGGTTTAAGCTACCACACTTAGTTCAATGCTCGTTTTTCTCCATTCGAATCTACATTTTGGAATAATTCACTGACGGACTGACTGACAGACTATTATTTATTTTGTAGTTATTGACGTTTCAAAAGTACCAAATTATGGTTTAATTGAAATAAATGCTTTGACTTAGGTTCATCAGACATAGGGTATCATCATCAGCCGATAGTGCCCACTGCTGAGTAAAATATTACGTTCCTCGCACGGAAAAGTAAGATAGAGCATTAATCCCCACGGTACTTAAGGTGGGTTGGCGATTTCAAACTCATTTAGAATTATAAGGCCAGGTTTGCTCACGATGTTTTTTTTTTCCTTCACCATTACATCAGGGCAGGGGTATGTAAATAATCTTAGGGAAAATGTATAACTCGGGAAAAGCCACATGGTACTTGCCAGGTCTTGAACGCGCAGCCTAATATACTAATCCTTGTTAACGGTATACCCCTTTGCACAGGTGTTCATTAATTTTCATCCTAACTTTTCCGATTTCATAAGCGTCACCATGCTTGGGCACGAATGGGTGAACGGAGTGGCGTGTGGAGTGGAGTGGAGACCACGGTCTCACAAAAACTGATGTCAAACAACGCCTGCGTTTTGTTTAGGTGTGTGAATCAGGTTGTCGTAAGCCCATGCAAGCATCCAATCCCCAATCCCCCAAAAGCTGGCAACGTTATACTTCTCTGGTGCAGCGGATATCCATGGGCGGAGCTGATTGCTTACCATCCGTGATCCATATGGATCATCGGCCATCTTATCTCATAATATCATTATAATTAATTGTACCCATGCAAATTTTGAAAATCAAATTAAATTGTTATCAATTGGTAAGATAGAATTGTAAAACTTTATCAAGACTTGAATAACGACAAGATTAACATACCTAAATAAGTAATTACTTTAAAAATTTATACAGGAAACTAAACTATTAACGCCCATTGTACTCAAATTACTATTACAATGTATACAATTTTTTTTTTCTTTGTGTGCAATAAAGTATAGATCTAGAAATAAATAAACGTCTTACTTTCATTCCAGGCACATCTTCGGCCTCCCAATTCCAACCCATGTGTGGAGGCACTGGAGGGTAATGATGAAAACGTTTTTTTTCTTTTTTGACAACCGCTTGACCAGCTGAAAGAGAATATTAATGATTATCTTGTTACCGGGACTTCACATAAATGAAAAGTGGTAATAATTTTAACACGCACGTGTCCCAGATTCCGAACCTTTCTTCTTATCAAACTTTTTTCGAAATTTATCTTTTGGTGTTTTTTTTCTTCTCTGGACGTCTTTCTTCTGACTCAGATCTTCATCAGATTCTTTTGTAATTTTTTTAACTTTGTCTTCGCTCAGTTCTTTTTTTAGCGGCCCTGTTTTTTTATCTGGTACAGTCTTTTTATCAATTACTCCTTTTGCAACTTTCGGTGCGGCTGCTCCTTTCGTGCCAAGTCTTTCGCCAGACCTTGACCCACCCTTGGAACTCTTAGAACTCTGTGTTTCTTTCTTTTCATCTTCAGGCCATGGGTCCGGAACTTTTATATACTTTTTATCGTATAATTTGTGATACACTGGACATGGATGAGGCTTAATATAATCTGGTTGATCTCGCATATCATCTCCTAGACACTCGTATCCTCCGCAAACCGAACAATAAGTAGTTTTATTCGAAAACTTGAAT